CATGGCGCCGCGCAAGCGGAGCCAGTGCCAGTGCCAGTGCCCGTGCCAGTGCCCGTGCCCGTGCCAGTGCCAGTGCCGGTGCCCGTGCCTCCTGGTGCCGTGGGCACCGCCCCCCGTTGCGACGGGACCCGCCGCCCCTGGCGCTGCAGGCGTCGGTCTGCTCGGGTTCGGCGGCGGTGCTGGCTGGCGCGGGCTGCCCTGCCATGGCTGCTGCCACGGGCCACGCCTCGCGCCGCCTGGCCTCCCGACGGTGTGGCCCACGGCCGTGGAGCAGCGGCTTGCACCGTGCACCATCCGTGGAGGGTTCGGCCTGCACGCGGGCCGAAGGCCTCTGCTCGGGTGTGCGCTCTCGGTCTTCCTCGCTCTGCTGCCTCGTCGTGCTGGCGCTCGAAGTGGATGGCGGAGTGCGCGGACGGCAGAGGTTGTTTTTCTCACCATTTAGCTCGCTCTCTCCGGCCGTATCTTGGATCTTGCCGCGCGCGACGGTGTGGCCCCTCGCGGGCGCTCTCGCCCACTTCGACAGCATGACTCGCCGCCTCTAGCTTCTGGAAGGGAAGGTGGGTTGCAGGCCTTCAAGCCGGGGTGCAACTTGAAGAAGGACAATGACACGGGTTATCCCTTGGACGACCGCGTCGAGTTCAGCCTGTTTCTCGACGAGCAGGGAAACAGGAACATCGTCTGCCGTTGCCCCCTGCCCAGCCAGTGGATTGCAAATCGGCTGAAGGCCGAGGTTGCGGTGGCCAGCGAGCGCAGCAAAGCCCGCTACAGGCGGGCGTCGACCTCGTAGTCCTCGGTGATTTCCCTTCCAGCGTTTGTGGGGGCGGGGAGGTTCGATTGCCCGATGGTGCTGGTAACCTACCCCAGAGGTTGGGGCTGCAGCGCATCGTGGATTCGCTTCGTTGTTTTTCGTGGCCCTCTGACCTGCCCGTCAACGGCGGCACCTCGGATGCTGCCCTTGAAGAGCTGCTCCGTCATGTACCAGGACATCGTGACGACGGTTCCTCGGTGAGATCCTGCGCCAAGGACTCCGTGTCCTGGCCTGCTGCCTGTACGACCCCCTCATTGCACCGCTGGCCAACTCGCGCAGCGAGGCCGCTAGTTCTCGGCTTGGGTCATGGAGGACGAGCGTGCTAGTCCCCGAGTCCGTGGCAGACGCCAGGCGCAAAGAGTCTGGACTCGTCAAGCCTTTCTCGAGCTGCCCCGACAGCTATGTTTACTTTCTTCGTCGTCTTGACGCCGCTGGAATGCTGGTGTTCCGTCCTCGCGGGGATCGTGATCAGCCCTCCGTGGGTGTGTTCTTCGTGACCAAAAGGACGGCAGCCTCAGGATGGTTGGTGTTTGATGCTCGCATCGCAAATCTTTCATTCGTGGAGCCTGCTGCCGCGCCAAACTGCCGACGGGCGCGTCGAGCAGCAGGGTTAACGGCTACGTGGCGTCGGCGGACATCCAGTGCGCCTTCTCTCACGTGGAGCTGCCCTCTGCTTTGGCCCGCGCCTTCGCCCTTCTTAGCATCGTGCATCTGGTGCTGCGGCTGGGCGGCCTCGAGTTGTTGGACGCTGACGTGGTTCCTGAGAACTTGGTGATGCCGTTGGGGCAGAACTGGGCCCTGCATTTTTGCCAGGACGCTCTGACCATCATCGCGCGGGATGCGGGCGCGCCCGTGGATCGCACGGGGCTGGAGTTCGATGGGGTGCGAGGCACCATGGGGCTGCTTTGTGCCCGCCTGGCTCGTCTGCGCCTCGGTATCCGTTCAGTGCTGCGTCGCGGACATATTTCCCCATCGCGCTCTATCCGCGCTTGTCGGGCACATCACGTGGGCCATGTTGAGCAGGAGAGAGGCCTTCTCTATGTTGTCTGCTACGTTTGCCGTCGCTCGGAGTCGCGTCTCAGAGCCCGCCGAGATCTGGGACGGGGTTTTCAGGGAGCTCCAGTGGGTCCAGTCTACGCTGCCTCTGTGGGCTACGTCTTGGCGTTTGCCGATGGCCTCCGAATTCGCTGCCTCGGATTCCATTGGCCCCTGTGTTGGGGTCCGCCGTCGCGTGCTTCCATCCTCAGTCGCTGCCGATATCGGTCGGCTCGCCGAGAAGCTGAGGCGCTGGTTCGACGACGCCATTTCGGCGAGGGGACATGCTCCCTCATGGGCCCCTGAGGATCCTGGAGGCGCCGTTCCCCTCTCTGGCGATCAAGGTCTTGGAGTGCCTCTTCTGCCTCCTGCAGGTCGCGTGGGTCTCAGACTTCCTCGCCTGTCCGGGGAAGCCGACGACGTCGAGGGCGCCCCGGCCCGTCGGCGTCGGGGCGGGGCCCCTCCGGGCTCGCCGAGGCCCCCGAGGATGTCTGGGAGGAGCCCGACGGGAAGGTGGTCCACTGTAGCAGGAGGCGCATGGGGGGGGAATAGCACCTTGGAACCTGAGGGGGGCGCGTTGGATTTCGCCTCCGCCGCCCGCTGCGCGCGGCGTCCTTGCAGGGCCGTCGCCTCCTCGCTTTCGTGGGCCATTTGGCTCCAGCTCTCGGCGCCGGCAAAGGGGCGGGGCCGCGCCTCCCACCTCGGCCCGGCCGCCGCGCCGTATCGCCTCGCTGCTGCTCGCCACGGGCTGCAGGGCCTGCGTGCGCTGGGTGCCGTCGGAGCTCAACCCGCCCGATGCCCCGCCGAGGTCTGGCTTCTTCGCGGGGCCGCTGTGGCCTGGAGCTGATCGGGTCGGAGGCGGTCTCTCGTGTGAGTGGTCGCGCGGGGCGGCTGCCGCGGGCCCTGGCGCGGGCGCCCGTTTGAGGATCGCCCCCCCCCCCCCCGCCGTCGCCCTCGGAGCTGACGGTCGGGCACCCGAGCTGCTCGGTCGCTGCGGCGCCCGCGGGCGCCTCCGCCAAACCGGGCGCTGTCCTCGCCGGGCATCTGTTCCCCTGTCACCTGTGGAAGCGGCTGATTTTGTTGCCAACGCAGGGGCTCGACGTGATCTTGGTGGGCTTCCTGGCGCGCCTGGCCTTGGTCGTCTGCGACGCGGCGTCCTTTCGGGCCACGATGATGGCGATGCGCCACCCGGTGCCTTCGTTCGGCCCCCCGACGTCCTCGCTGCCAAGGGCGTGGAAGGACTTCGAGGGGTGGATGAAGCTGGGCCCCCCTGCCGCGTACCTGCCGATATCCTGTCCCGCTGTCGTGGCGTTCGTTGGGGGCGGTCCTTCGCGATGTTCGCAGTCATCGCGGTCGCGGGCCACCCTCGCCCCTCGGCGCTTCGGCCGCGCGGCCACGCGCTCGCGCCGCCGAGCCCGCTGGCGGTGAAGGACTACGCCGGGGGGGCTGCGATCCTCAGCCCCGCCGAGGACGGGCGGCCCGCCCAGGCGGACGTCGCCGACGAGAGCTTCGCGCTGGGCCAGCAGCTCTGCGACCTGCCCGTCGGCGTGCCCTCGTTCGGCCAGCTGCTGGTCGCGGGCCACGCGGAGCGGATGGACGCGATGTCCCTGGGCCTCTGGCCCCGAGGGGCGGGGGGCGCCGTCGCCCAGACCAGGCGGACGGCTATCTGACCCGTCAGTTCTCGGCGGCTCTACGCTGCGCTCGCGTGCTGCCTCGCCCTGCCCTCGTCGGTCTCGTTGCCGCTGCGTGGCCCACGGCGCGTGCGTGGCGGTCCCAGGGATTCGCTGCCATGTGCTGTGGTCCTGACCGACACCAGGTTTTCGATCAGTCTCGACCCGCGGTGCTCCAGGGGATCATGGGGTGGCTTCGGGGTTCGGTGGTCCTGGGCGTCTGGGCCCCTCCTGCCTGCTCGCCTGGGTCCCCCTCCGCTCTCTGTCGTGGCCTCCGGGGCTCGTTGGTCGTCATGGCCCTCGACTGCCACCGGCTGTGGGCCCCTGTGATTGTCGGGGCTCCCCCCGGCGCCCCGTCGGTTGCCGTGGCCTCTTTTGAGCATGCGTGCTTGTTTGCCACCTGGCCCGCTGAATTCGGGTTCTGCCAGTGCGGAGGCGTGCGCCCCCGTCCGACTCGGGTGTGGTCTTGGGCTGCTCAGTATCCGCTCTTGTCCGCCCGTCCCTTGTGCTCAGGCCGGATCGGAACATGTGCTGGCGGTCGTCAGTTTCACGCGCCTGCCCGTGGGGTGAACAGTCACGGTGAGCCATATGCCCATATTGCAAAAACGGCTGCCAATCTTCGTGACGCAATGGCTTTGAGATTCGCCCTGTGAATCTGCCAAAGTAAGTTTGTCAATGTTAGTCAGCTCTTAAGGCCAGTGTGTGCAAGTATGTGTGGTACGTATCTCTCGAGGTTGGCGACTGCACTGTCCTGTCCCGTGGCGCCCACTCTGTCTGGCGAAATAGACGCCCTCGCGCCCAGGCTGCAAATACTGCCCCTGGCACCAGGAATGGAATAAGATCAAGCAGCTGCTTGCTGAGTGTTTTGATCCTTGTAAGGAAACGTGCCGCAACACTGCGGCTCGAGCCTCCCTTCCTCCCTCTCTCGCCTTCGTATCTTTCGAGGTTGTCGACTGCACTGTCCTGTCTCGTGGCGCCCACTCTGTCTGGCGAGATGTACGCCCTCGCCCCCGGGCGGCAAATGTTGTCCCTGGCACTCAGAATATAATCGTATCATCAGTACCATCAGCATCATCATTCGCATCCTCAGCATCCTCATCCTCATCCTCATCGTCATCATCATCATCATCACCACCATCATCATCAGCATCATCAGCATCATCATCATCGTCATCGTCATCATCATCATCATCATCATCATCATCATCATCATCATCATCATTCATCATCATCATTATCATCATCATCATCATCATCATCATTATCATCATTCATCATCATCATCGCCATCACCATCATCATCATCATCGCCATCACCATCATCACCATCGTCATCATCATCATCAGCATCATCAACATCATCATCATCATCATCATCATCGTCGTCGTCGCCGTCGACATCATCATCCTCTTCCTCCCCCCTTTCATCCTCCCCTTCCTCCTTCCGCGCCTCCTTTGTCCCCTTCCCCTCTCCCCGTCCCCCTTCCCCACCACCGTAATAATATCGGCTAAACTTTAGGTTCAAGGGCTGCCCCCGAGTAGATATCGTTGCTGACAGGTGTTGGCTTTGCAGGGCAGTGTGCAGTTTTCTTGCGTCGTGACGTTCATGAATATACAGCGAGGTCGAGCTTCTGGACGGTACAAGTGATGGCGGCATATAGAGCGTAAAGATGTTCAAATCTTGATGCTGACAGGAATGGGGCGATCTCTCGGAACGAATGTTGTGTGCATGATGGTTCGGCCATGGTCTTCGATGCCATCTAGGCCAACTTGGGTCACAAGGGAACTGACGTGCGCGACGACTGGCTGCCGGCCGCCGTCGACGCATTAGGCACCCACCAACCGGAACGATTCCATATTTAGCCAGCTGGATAGTGCGGTGACCCATTCACCCAGATTTGAAGACATGATGCATCAGCATCCACACGATCCGCCTACCAATGTTGCAATCTTCACCTACGTCAATCGGCACAGTGAATATCTTGAGAGAAGTTCTTACTGCGTTTAACTGCGAGCTGGCGGACGCTCGCGGTGAACGTGTGGAATCAGGGATGTTTTGCGTCTTTCGCGCAGTGACTTGCACGAGCCGTTGTCGGTCGCGGCTCGAATCTATCTGGTTGTGAAGAGTAACCTTGCGCGAGCGAAGCTCCAGGAGTAGCACCAGGATCAGCAACCTCTTCAGAGGTCCAGTGTCAGTGCATTCTCAGTTCTCAAAGCTATGTGTAAGTACTGGTGCCAACTCAGGAGCGCCATTATCAGCAGAGAGTATACCTACGATTCCAGTCGACTCTTCAGCAGACGCCTCTTCAGGAGCATACACTCCAGCACTAGTTGGATCCACGACTCCAGCAGGCTGTTCAGCAGACCCCTACTCAGGAACAGCACTTTCGGCAGAGGGTAGACCTGTGGCTTCGGGAGGCTCTTCTGAAGACGTCTGTTCACGACCAGCATTTTCGGTAGAGGGTAGCCCTGCAACCTCAGCAGGCTCTTCAGCAGACGCATGCTGAGGAAGAGCGTCTTCAACAGGTGGTAGTCAACCTGCGACGCCAGCATGCTCTTTCGCAGGCGCCTGTTCAGCAGCAGTACCTTCGGCATAGTCTCGGGGTAGACATACGACCACAGCATGCGCTTCAGCAGTCGCCTGTTCATCAGGCGCCTTTTCAGCAGCATCTTTAACAGAGGGCTGACCTACGAACCCAGCAGGCTCTTCGACAAACGCCTGTTCAGCAGCAGCATCTTCGGCAGATGCTCAGGCAATGCCTACGACTCCTGCTGGTTCTTCAGTATGATTGCAGCAAGCTCTCTGGCAGACGCCTCTTCGAGAGCAGCGGTGTCTGGGTCACCGGCCTCTTCAGCGGTTGTATCTTGAAGAGCAACCGCCATTTGGCCACCAAGCACTGACCTCAGGCCCATCTTCATTGTTTCTTTTTCGCCCAGAGTGCAACTTCTGCGTACATAGTGATGGCCTTGTGGAGTCTCCTCGATGACATCATGATCATGTCCAGGCGCCTCTCTTCGAGCAGCTTCCCCTTCCCGCCTTCGCGAGCCCCGTTGAAAACTTCAACATCGATTTGGGCTGCCCGTCTTGGACCAGCTGCTTGGTCAGTAGACCCAGCCCAATTTCTAAGATACTCAGTGTTCTACACAACGGCGTCTCTGACAGTGGGGATCTCCAGTACCACTGTCTTCAAGTGCATTACCCTCAGCAGAGGTGTTGATACTTACGGTATCGGCATCAGCTGCGTTTGTCGTATCGGATGACGCCGTCTTGAGCACTATGCCACCTAGAACGTTCCGCGCACGCCTCCGAAGCTTGCACATGTTTTCACCGTCGAGCACCTTCCACAGTTGTCCACCCCTTCGGCCGCCATCCCCTCTTTTCTTGAGCAGCCTCTTCAATCGCAGCACCTGCAGCACAATCACTTGCGGCATCGGGCCGAGCCCCCCCTACAGCAGCCACTTGGACACCTGTCTCTTGAGCATCGGCGCCTTCAGCAGCGCTGCCATCAAGACCGTCATCTTCAAACAGCGTGATGCCTGCGGCGAACCCCGTCACCTTAACAAAGCAACACCGACTTTGATGCATGATGGTTTCAGCGAGCTTCCTCAATTAGTCTGAGTCCAAGTATGGTTCTGTGCCGCCCTAGCTCGCAGGGCTCTCTTGAGCCGTCCAGGGTGCGATGGGTTTCCGAGCTCTCCCGAGTTTTCGTGGTGCCGTCTGGGAAGCAGCGCTACGATGCCGTAGCACGGCGTGGTTGTCGCGTTGCCTTGCGGGGGGGTCTCTCGGAGGCTTGGTCGGGGCTTGCCGCGGGGCAGTTGAGGGGGTCTCCCAGCCCGAGTGTCCTTTCGGAGGGGCCTCTTGGTGCCTTCTGCGGTGCCTCTGGGTTCTGACGGGCCTGTTCGGGGACTCAAGATCCTGTTGGGCGCGATTGGTCTGCCGAGCCCGTCCGAAAAGAGCAAGTCGAAGCGTCTCGGGGCCTTCTGGGTGGGTTTCAGGCCCTCTGGGAGCCGTCTTGGGACGGCCCAGGGCGTCTTTTGGGGCTCCCAAATGCCTTTAAGATCTTTTTGTGGTTCACTGATGTCGCTCGAATATCCAACTGCCTGCGGCAAACCCCGTCACCGTGCCAGCGCAGCAGTAAGACTCAAGTTCAGACACGGCGCTGAACTGGAGCGGTTTTTGAACACCCCCTCTTTGTCTGCAGCCTCGTTCTCCTTTTCCTTTCCGACCGCTTCTCCGCTTGCACGCGTATAAGAGGCTTCTCTGGAGCCTCTTGCGCATCTCTCGGGGGCCTCTTAGAGCCGATTTGACGGCCCTTCGATAGTCTGTTGGGGGGGCCTCTTGTAGGCTTCTTGTAGGCTTCTTGGGGGCATCTCCTGGGCCCCTCATGGCCTCTCGAGGGCATCTTGGAGGCTTCTTGGGGGCATTTTGGGAGCCTCTTTGGGTCTCTCGGGGGCGTCTTGGAGGATTCGGGGGGCCTTCAGGAGGCATGTTGGGGATCCTGGACGCAATACTTGCGGGAAAGGCTCAAGGCCAGGTCGATTTCTCCTTTTGGGGCCTATTTGTTGCCTTCTTGTGGCATGTGTTGGGGTCTTCTCGGGCCGTCTCGGGGGCCTTTTGGGCCGTATTTGGACTCTCTTGGGCCGTCTTGGGGCCCTCTTGGCCTTCTGGGCAGTCGTGGGGCCCTCTTCGGGCGTCACAGGGTTGTTTTGGATCTTTCCTAGGGGCATGTTGGGCCGTCTTGGGCTTGCGGAAGCCAGGCAGGGACAGGATGTCAAGCTCTGTGGAAAACGAACGCGAGCGCCCCTGGGGCGGCTTGGAGGCCTTTTTGGGCCGTCGTCAGAGCATCTTGGGCCATCTCAAGGCCCTCATGGTTTGTTCCGAGACCCTTAGTTTTTTTGTTTTTTTTAGTGTGTTCACCCCCTCGTAAACCTGTTTCGACCATCATGAGGAAGGCTTATCTCCTTGCTTTAATTTGTTATCACGCATCGATGATACATATCACTGCCACGATTACTATCACAATGGTGGTGCTGCTGCTGATGATGACGATGGTGCTGATACTGATGATGCCGCTGCTGCTGACGACAGTGCTGATTAGGATGAGGACGAGGATGAGGATGAGGATTATGATGATGCTGCTGATGATGATGATATTGCTGCTGCTGATGATGATTCTGATTAAGATGATGATTATGCGGATGATTATCGTGATGGTGGTGATGATAATGATGCCCTGATCATGATGGTGCTGACGATGTGGTTGAGGATGATGATGATTCTGATTATGATGATGATGATGATGATGATGATGATGATGATGATGATGATGATGATGATGATGATGATGATGACTGTGACGGTACCGCTGCTGATGATGGTGACGACGTTGTTGATATGATGATGGCGACGGCAATGATGATGACGATGACGATTCTGATGATGATGAGGATGATGGTGATGATGACTATGATGCTGCTGCTGCTGATGATGATGATGGTGATGATGATGATGATGATGATGATGATGATGATGATGATGATGATGATGATGATGATGATGATGATACTGATGATGCTTACGATGCTGTTGATGATGATATTGATGATGGTTGTGATGATGCTGCTGACGACATGCTACTGCTGCTGATGACGATGACGACGACGGTGACGATGCTGACGATGATCATGATGAGGGTGGTAATCATGAATACTTGTATTATTCATATTTCTATTCGTACTAGTAGCCGTACTATGATTGCCACCATAATTAGTTTTACTGTTAAGTTTAATGTTATTATTTGGTATGTGTTATCGATGTGATGATTATTTCTACCATTACTAGTAATGTTACAATCCGTATTACATCGATTACCGTCTTTTTTAGGAGTATGTTGTAGGTGCTACGATGTGGAAACTTTCACGCTTCGCGTATCCCCACAACCTTTACGTGTTGGGTCCTCGTCTGGTGGCGCTATCGTCCGGCGCTTCCCTTTCCGCCTCCGCCGTGTTGGGTCCTCGACTGCCTGTGTCGCCACATGGCTCTCCTCCTTTTCCTCTGACGCGACGCTCTGTTGGGTCCTCGGCCGCTTGTGTCGCCTGTCCCGGGCCACGCTCGAATACCCTCGACGCCCGCAGGTCCTCAGGCCCCTGGTTCATTGGCTTCAGCTTCGAACTCAGGAGGGCTTCGCGGTGAGCGTCGAACACGTGAGGTGCTTGTGAGTGAGGCCTGGTTCCTCCCTTCCTTTTCTCTCGTCGCCGCCTCCCTCTGCTGCCTTCCTCTGCCCCTTCCTCTGGCCCGCTTCACTCGGGTCGATTCGTCCGCTGGCATATGCCCAGTGGTCTCTGCATGTTAATTTTCTGGCATTGCGCCCCATGGCATTGCGCCCCATTGCCTCACACCGCCCTCTGGACTCTTCCTTGCGGGCCGCAAATCAAAAAAGTATCCCCACCAGGGTCCGTAGCCTTGGCTCGAGGCCGTCTGCGGGCCTGGCTCCCTCGGGCCAGTCTCCCGCGCTCGAGGGGGCGCCCGGACGCCGCACCGCGCCCTCCCCGGCCCGGGGCCCCGCCGTTTCGACTACGCGCGCCCGCGATGCCAGATCGCTCGCGGCGCTGTCCTGGCCCGCGGCTCAGATCCATGCAGGATCAGCCTGACGATGGGGATGGAGGGGTTGATCCCTCAGTGCAGGGCGCGGGAGCCCAGTCACTGGTCTCGATCAGCCCCCGCCCAGATCCAGATCAGGCGCGGACCCCCCGCAGGCATCAGCCCCCCCCCCCCCCCGCAGATGAGGCAACCGCAGGGCAGACGTCAGCGGCGCCCACGTTGGCCCCATGCCCCGCGGAGGACGGCAGCCAGATAGAGGGGAATGGAGCTCGCCCTGGCGCCGCCCTGGATCCCGTCCTGATCCCAGTACCGTCCACGCCTCCCCCGTCCCCCCGCAGGGGGGCAGAACGTGATTGCGAAGCCCCAGCGACAGGCTCCACCCAGCCCCCTGAGGCCGAAAACGAGGCTCGCGTAGGGAACCAAGAGGCGGCAGTGAACGAGGTATCTGGAGAGAGACGATCGGAGTCCATAGAAGTTGACGGCGCTGGCCTCCCACCAGGAGGACAGGCAAGCAGGCCCCCCCCCCGCGGCGACTGAGGTGCTACCTCAGAGACCGCTAGGGGGAGAAGCGAGAGAGGACTCAGAGCAGACAGCACTGCTCCAGAGGGCCGCCCAACCCCCCTCCTCCTCCGATTCACCAGTTACTGCGGCTTTTGGTTGCGCCCCCCATCTTCCTCCTCCTCTTCAAGTGCAGGATCTGAGTCCAGCGGCTCTTGGCTGCGCCACCAATTCTAATCAATATTCATCAGTGACTGCGGCTTTTGGCTGCGCCCCCATTCATAGTGAGATGCCGAGGAACGATGCTGGCGATTGTAGATCGCCGGAAGATCCCCTGCAGGATTGAGCCCCGCCTGCGCCCTTGGCGGGCGCGCGGGACGCCCGCGACGACATAGAGGATCCCCCGCCCAGGAATCTGCTGGGCTTGACCAGCGACGGCGGGGAGGATCCCCCACCCGACCCACCCATTTCGCCCCCGCATGTGCCCTCCTCTGCCTTCCCGACTCCTCTGCCCTCTACGGGCCTGGGCGAAGACATTGAGATCTCCCCCGCGCTCCCTTCCCACCTGATCGGGATCGATGCTGACAACGGACGACAGCATTGGGACGAGGTCGACTGGGAGTGGCTTCTGCGAGTTCGCGAACCCAGCGGAAGCACCCCCGACAGCGAAGCGCACCACGATTGGGAGAATCCCGACGAGATCGACAGCAGATCAGCCACTCGCGCCCGCGGTCGCCTGATCACGCCTCCTCCTGGCCTCCCCCCGTCCCTGCCGCCAGGCTCAAGGTCGCTCAATTCGGAAGGACAGGTGGCTGACCTTGGTCACGGAGTTGATCCAGCTAACCGCAGGCCCTCCCCTTGACCCAGGCGTTGTGGCACCCGTGACGCTGGCGCTCCCCTCCTGGCCCCGAGGGTCGTCGACCCAAGGGGCGCCATGGGAGGCGGCGCACTAGCGGCGCTCATGGAGCACCACGAACCAAGGGAGGAACCGTGAAGAGAGCTCCCCAGGCGCTCGCCCCGCAACCAGGCAATGAACAGTGGTCCTGAAAACATGGTAAGCTTCTGCTGGCTCCGCCACCCCCCCTGGCATGCAGCCGTCAGCGGGGGCCCTTCCGCAGCAGGGAGTGCCCAGTGCCCACTCAGGGCAGGCCCCAGCCACGTGGTGCAAACGGAGCAGGAATCCCCCCCAGCAGAGGTACACCTGCGCCTCGGCAATGGCAGAGCTTGACCTCTCCTGGTTGGTGTGGTCGATCACAGGGTCTGACCATGAGGCGAGACTCGGAGGAGTAGGTCCGGACCCAGTTCAGGTACTGGCTTTCCGTTACGCAAGCCTGACGCAGGATATTGCCATCGAAACGGAGAGCCTGGATTGCGACGAGCCAACTCAGGCTGAAATCATTGCGACGGAAAGTGAACACGAGGTACTGCACCATGCCGT